ACTTCAACTTCAGAGTTCTAATCATTTTCTGTGGTTTTGTCATTAAATATTTTACATTACACATGGTCATCAGACCAATTTTAATATAGAAATATTGATTGATTAAAGCAGCTTTAAGCCAGTACACTGAATGAGTATAAACCCCCAAATCAGGTCAGCAGTTTTCATCACTATGTTATACTAAAAACAGTTCATGTTGATTTTGTGAATTTCAAGCCTTCAACGCAGAGCAATTATAGAAACCATCAACATAAGACGGTGAAACCATTGCTTTTGTTATGAGTGTATGGTAAGCAGTAGTCTGTTTGGGAGCCTAAGCCTTAAGTTCTGTAGATTAGATTTGTAGACTAGATGTGTTGAGGCATTGATAGAAACATTCAGGGCAGCAGATTCCGTCTGGGCCGAGTCATGAGCAGCTTGTCCAGACAAGTCCTGTGCGTGGAGAGGAGGACATAACACAGAGCCTGATCCCAATCACACACACTGACAAGAAGCCCTTTTTTTTTTTTTCCTATACGCTTTCTGTCTTCATTACTCATCCCCTCCCGGTTTTACTCCAAACATTACTCATTCACTTCCTGCATTTATACCGAGATATTTATTATCTTACCTTCAGATTTCGTTCGACCTTCCTTTTTTCTGTGATTCATGGTCAAATGTGAACCGGGATCTCGGAGCCAGCTTGTGTAAAAGACCACAGCTGATGATCAGCGAGCGCAGGTTGATTTCCATCAGTGCACATCAAGCAGCGGCTGAGCTCTGGGACTCTGTTGCAGCTGTCGTGTCGAACAGTGACCCTGTGTGGAGTTCATGTCATGTGTGGGAGGCAGTGACAGACTTGCGGTTTCTGTGTCTCTGTCTGGGCTGGCCTGCACTGAGCAAACGGCCACATGTTTGGGCTTTGTGTGCAGCCTTTGAGCCGGTGTTTCCTTGGTGTGACTTGCGCTTTTGTGTTAAGGGGAGGTGAACCCTGTGGCCTGCGGGATGCCTATAGCCACCCTGATTACATGTTCTGTGTGTCCAGCTGTTTGTCCAAGCCAGCTCCCGATGCAACTCTCGAAACACAGATGAGAGAGCAGGGAAGAGTGAGAGTGCCAGATTTCCTCTCTTAATGGAAAACATACTGAGCATTTCTCCAAAAAAATTTCTCTTTTATTTGTTTCCTCCCTGCTTCCTTTTGCTTTGGGTTTTTTTTTTTATTTAATTGCAGTAGATTCCAGCCCAGAGCGACTTGAGGTTTCTTCCTCTTGTGGTAAATCTGGAGGCTCTTACCGGATCACGCTGTGGCTCAGCCATGCCAAAAGCGCAGCGTCACTTTCGACACAAACATACATCCCACCCCTCCCCGCTACCACAGCCGTGGCACGGGCAGTCAGCCAGTGGGCAGAAGCCACAGCTCCCTGCCACAGAGGTACTGCCCTGCCACCCCGCCTGTGAAGAAGGGCAACGCTCACTGCTATGGCTCATTTAGACAACTGCTATAATTATGCAGCCAGTTTCTTTTTTTAATTTCCAAAAGCCAATTTTTTATTTTTTCATCTGCTGTTCATCTGCTGCTATTTATGGCTTGTATGTTCTTGATCCTACTTCCTTCACATGTGTGTCTGAAACTGGGTTATGATTCCAAAATGTAAAACTCTCAGATGCTGTTGTATTTTTAGTCATGCTCGCAGCAATGTTGGCCTGTTGGTCGGTCACCACTTTGGTTCAGACTGAAATACCTTACCATATGGACATTCAGGGTCCCCAGAGAATTAATCCCAGCTACTTCAAGCATCACCATGAGGCTGACATTATTGGGTTTTACTGAAAAGTCTCGACAGTGATCAGATGGATTGCCATGAAAATTGATACAAATATCCACAATCCCCTGAGGATGAATCCTAATGACCTTGGTGATTGTTTGATTTTTTTATCTAGCTCCACCAGTAGGTCATATTATTCACTTTTCATGTGAAATATTTCTACATCTACTTGGTGAATTAAACATTTTGCACAAGCACTTATTATTTCCCAAATAGTATATCACAATGCCTTTGGTGATCCTTTGAATTTTCCTCTTGCTGACACTTTTGGTTTTGAGGGAAATGCCTTGACAAATATTGGTTCTGGTACAGACATTCATCTTCTTCAGAATTTATTGTGATCCTCTGACATTTTCATCAAAATATGAATTTGTCCAGTACTTTGGTTTATAACCAAATACCTGCAATATTCTCATCAGCTTCACCTGTACTTTATATTTAGAGCTAATTGGCAAATGTTAGCACACTCACTAAACTAAGAACATTGTAAACATTATACCTGCTACACATCAGCAAGTTCAGCCTCACAGAGCATGGCTTTTTTTTTTGTGATCCCATGTTTATTGCCATGTATGTAAGGCTTAAAACTAAAAGCACGGCTTTGTTTTGAAATTGACAACAACAATAAAAAGTTCAGATTGAGGAAAAAGAAAAAGAAGAACAGAAAAATAATAAACATACAAAATAAACATAATGCAAAATAAAGCACCATCCCTCCCTCCCAGGCACATTAACACACCCTCATATTAGGGAGATTTGCTGTTGGTTAAAAGCACTTCATCAATGCAATCAGAAGAAATATGCAACACACACACACAGATAAATATAAAGGAAATGAGAGGTTCTATCAAATAACTTGAGGAATGAGGGGAAGGAATCGTTTCTGGCTGTAGTCTTGTTTCCTCTACCATCAGTATACAGTGAATCAGAGGACGTCTGTTTATGTGATGGGGGGAGCTGGTGTGTATGGTGGCAGGTGGTGAGTTACACATGGCGGTGTTCACACAGACTGAGCTCTAAACAGGGGCACGACAGTTGCTGTCAGTGTTTTTCCCCTCGTTCCTCATACCTTTTTTTAGGTTTTGTTCTAAAATACCCTGAACCACATCTTTCTCTTCCTGCTTTACAAGTGTTTGTTTGCCTTTTAATTGGTTTGTGAGGCGCCCCTCCCCTCCCAAAGTCCAACTGAGTTGCCAGGATACAGACCATGAGAAGGAATTTCAGGACCTCAGTAAAACCTATGAAGGACTCTGACATTTGCAGGCAAATATAGTTCTGTCTTTAACAAAACAGTGCAGTACATTAAACGGCCATTCATCTTGCTGGGAGTTTGTTCCTGGGACATGTTTTAATGTGACACCTGAGGGCTCTGCTCTGTCAACAGGCGGCGCTTTGCTAGATGGCCTCAAACAGAAGTCCAAATATTCCTATGGATCGGCCATCCTGTCTGTGACTTACTGTTTGTCCATCCCTCGGTGAAGTGAACAGGCTTTTAGAAATGTTGTGGTCATCCTGCGTGTATAGCCTCAATGTTAGGAAATGAATGGAGGTTTGTTGGGCAGCCATGCTAGGAACAGGGTGATGTGTGTTTCCTTTCTAAACTTTAGAGTTTATGTCACTTGTAAAACCCAGATTGACTGGTTTGTATACGCAGACGGAGAGAACAGGGTTGTTTATCTTCTGACTGACGTAATTCTGTGATTAGCTCTGGGTTTTTATACCTCCGCTCTCTGTCTCGCACACACACAAACACAGTCTGATCCCAGGCAGACGTTGCAGCTGACCTGAGACAAGGCCCATATGAACTCAATTTTCTCCCACAGACAGCCAAAACAACCAAAAACAACAACAAAAAATGCATGCTGACGTATGCAGATAGGAAGGAAATCAATAAAAAAACAAAGAAGGAGGCAGAGCGGTGAGATGAAAGGAGGCTTGCAGGGCAGGCGGCTGGAATTTAGCACATCTGTTACCTTGGCAGGGCTCTCAATCATGTGCGATGTTGTGGAGGCTGAAAGATGGTCGGAGAGCAGCCGTGTAGGTTGTCTGCAAGCTCATTCACATGTTTGTCGCCCAGGAATACAAGACGATTTTTATTTTCTTATTTATTTCTTTAAAAATAAGTCACAATAACAAAAAACACATTTTTGAAAGTTGACATTTTCCTCTCAATTTTAGTAATTGGAGGTTTAAACTTTGCTATTTTCCCTCCTTTTTACATTTGGTCAAGAGGAATTCAGAGATTTTTAATGAAATTGTTTTACAGCTCTTTGACATTTTTGTATTATTTATGAGTTGATTAGTTTACCGCAGTTCTCAATAAACACTTCTGGTATGTGTTGCACAACACATTATGAGCTTCTGTAAATCACACGGGAAAGTATCCGAGTTGAAAAACAACTGTTTTTAAAGCCCAGAAGCCAAACTGAATAAGATTCTGTTGCAAATAATATCATCTTTCAGTACAACTTATTATTCTCTTCTCTTTTTCTACCTCTGCTTGTTTTAGAGCTTGTGTTGCATGTTGATTAACCATCTTCATATTATTATCTGTTGGAGAGTTGTTATATCTGTTTTAATTTTGTCTGCATTCTTTATGCCAGGTCACCTTTGCAAAAGAGGTTTCCATCTTATATAACTGGTTCAATAAAATAAAAATAAAAGTCTCAATATTACAAGAAATTAATAAACATTTTTCTTTGTCTGTCATCCTTCTTCTTATTTTAGATCTTGAGGCCTTGATGTGCACTTGGACAGAGTGTGTTATGTGGTGTTATTGTATCCCTGTTGCCCTGAGACAACCACTCAAGACAATGAAGTTTGCCAGTAACAACACAATCGCACCAGTCTGCTTGCCCCACTGTTTCTTTTTCATCCAGTAAATTACATGGAGCGACAGCCGCAGCCCTTTGAAAGAATCACGTTTGGACAAAAATAACAAAACTGGCATCAATAATAAAACTGTTTCCCTGCCTGGCGATTATAATTAGAGTTTGGTAAATACTAGCGCGTTTAGATCTCAACGAGATTTTGTCTGGAATTCCCCTCATACTGTTATAATCATACAGTGCACGCTCAGATGAAGAGACACCTCTTATTTATTTTCACAGCTTTGTTAAACCATTAATACACAGGCACATTCATGAAGAGCAGTATAACCTCATTACCTTTGACCTCCTCCTGTTTGTCCCACAGTTGCTGCGCATGGTGACAGTATCTGAGAAGCGCTGGAGAGCCCGGTCGCGTGGAAGTGGAGTGGACGGGTGGAGCGACGAGGGGGAAGAGGGGTTCGAGAGTGGTGACTGTGACGATGAAGATGAGTGCGCTGGAGTGTCAGGGCTGGGGCCGCCACCGAGACGCAAACGATTACGCATCTTTGCAGGTTAGACACGTTTGCTCAAACTGGATCTCAAAATTAAATTTAACTGCAACTTGTGTGGTTTAGAATGAGGTGCTGCATCCACACTCATAACTAAAAAATGACCTAAAATTGCATTCATGAGGTGGGCTGTGAAAACATTTTGGGCACATGCTATTAAGTTGTTTATGTTTAAGCCTGCTGCCCAAATTGGAGCTATTTACTTTAAAACTGGTAAGTACATGAATAGGCTTGGCTGCTTCTGCAGTGAGTCAGAGCAATCACAGTCCAAACACAGGGGCTGTGGGCACAGCAGAGAGGTGTTTACATGACTACTGTACATGTTGACACCATTGTGACACTATGCAGCAGGAGACATGAGACTTCCTCAGGTAGCCGCCTCACCTCGACCTCTTGACCTCCCCGCCGTCAATCCCTTGGAAACGTCAGACGTGCTCTCCGAAAGCCAAACAAAGAACAAATGAAGCTACAAACTGTTAGAAGAAAAGAAACCAAACAGAAAAAGAGGGAGAAAACAGCCAGAGAGCAAGAACAAGGGGGTTCGATATACCGACACAAAGCCAGTGCAGCTGAGCAAACACGGCAGTGGGAGTAGTCCTCCTGTCGGGGATGTTGTGGCAGAGATTTGGGTTCGTCGGGCAGGGAGCGAGAGCAGGAACCAGGGGTTAACACAGGAATCCTGCAGGGCCATCACTTCCAGCAGGCTGGGCCGTGAGAGTCTGATGCCCTCTCTTGCACGCTCCCGTTGGCCTGACTCTACAGTTCTGCTTCGATACACAGAGTCATTATACTGTCTCCTCTGGCTCACAAGCTGCTGAAGTTGACACAGCGGGAAATTAAAGCACCCTTTATAGCCTGACCTCCATCTCAGCCTCAATATCCCCTTAATTTTCCCTTATCTGTCCTATAAAAGAGCAGATTAGATGTGTATTTAGTGTGTGTGCTCCTCGTGAGTGTGTGTGAGTGAGTCTGCAGGCACATAAACGCTTGTTTGCGCCTGTTTGTACATAAGCCAGTAATGTTTGCAGACCTTGGAGAGGCCCTTCTCATTGGCAAATACACAGATAGCTGCTGATAGCCTGTGATGACCCAGCAAAATGCTGACCTTGCAGGGCCACTCAGCCCATTTTGGTCAAACAGGGGACTGGGGTTCAAAGGTCAACCTACAGAGCATGAGTCCTAATGGGCTGCCTGTCTGTGCTCTGCTGCTCTGAGATGGACGAGGCAGATCTGGTTTCACAAAGCCTGGAGCGGAGAGAGAGACAGTATAGCACATAGCCGGGGAAAGGTGACAGAAGCCACAACAACAAGGTGCAGACAGGAGAGAGGGAGGTCTGAGACCCCCGCACAGCATGGCTGTCAGCCTGCTGAACACGTAGAGGATGTTCCCAAACGTACTTAATGATTGAGCTGTCCTCGCTCATTCTCGACAAAGATTCCATAACCTTCTGATCACTAATGCTACACACACTTCCCCTCCCGACCATTCAAACCCTACGTCGCACATTCCCCAGAGCATTCCAGGCCAGGGGAGCTATTCCAGGACAAGGACCCCCCACACACACACACACACCACCACCACCACCACACCAACCCTACCCCTCCAAAGCCAGACATACAGCCAGGCACTGGGTTGGTTACAGCTCACACGCCACACTTAATTATACTATTTTATCTATTGTTTTCTTTTACATGAACAGCTTTAATTTCCAAGTCATTTGAGGCTGCAACTGTTTTATTTTGAGTGGTGGGAGATCTTTAGAGATTAAGACACTGAGGATGGTCAGATGATTCAATGATTAGTCTTCAGTCACTTATATGTACTGTAATGTGTTCTTAAAGCAAGCCTATGTTACTTTTTCTGATCATAGGCTGTGACTACAAGTGTCAGTTATGACATAATGTTATATGGTAAAATGTAGGGTGACAGTAACACAAGTAGGGAAGAATCATAAAGTCAGCTAACTGACTCAGCAATGTTATTTACCCAGCAATATCTACCTAAAGCTAACACTAGCCACCAAAAGCTACTGGTATCACCTTTATGCTGCTAAGACTAATGCTGTGTTTACACCAACTGTGAAGCAAATTTTGACCTTGCATAAGTTTGACCACACGCTCATTTGTTTAAACAAAACCTGCAAATATTGACTTTTAATCTGGCTTACTACAGCGGTATAAACCCAAAATAAACAGATTTTTCTATTATGCAATTGCAATAAATGTATCATAAGGATGCTGAAATATTTTACATCATGATGCCCATTTGTAAAAAATCTAAATTCATACAAGCAAACAACTTGAAATGGTTGTTTTCTGAATGGAGTTTGGATCGATCAGGGCAATGCTATGCTAACGTAGTTAACAGAAAAGTACAACTGACAGCTGCAATCAAGTAACAAGACAAGACACTTTTTTGTCTGGTCTTTATATAAATATCAAGTAGTATCATAGAGCTCTGGGTTCCCACAGATGGGATCATTTCTCACCCTTTTCTGATTCAACGTCAGTGACATCAGGAGAATCTCAACACTGATAGGCTTTCGTGAAGCAGTGTCACGCAAATTTTGCATCAATTGCTGCAAAATTAGCTTCATGTTTGGTGTGAACACGTGTTACTCGTGTTATTTATTCTTTCAGAAATCACATCACAATCGTCTCCCTTTTATTGTTTTAAACTTTGCCTCTGGATGTGTGAATGTAGGTCTTTAGAACACAATAAAAACTATAGATTATGTAGTTTAAATTACATACCAGAAATACGAGTTGCATTCAGACAGAGAAAATCATAAGCACAAAGGATAATTGTTTTATATAATTGTGTATAATCCCAAAATGTGTAGGTGAATACACTTACAGTAATGTGTAGGTTTGTCTGTGTGTGTAGTTTTTTCAATCCTGTAATCTGTAATACCATATTACTGTCTTTCCCTCATGATGAGGGCTCACCTGTGTGTCTATGCTTTCATGCACACCTGGTCTCTGTCTGTACAGCCTCTGTGGGAAACAAAGAACCTGCCACCATCTCCATAAACTCTGCTCTAAGCCTCCCTTCATTCCCTCATCCTCACTTCATTTTTTTCTCCCACTGTCACTTCAAATATGTACTGCAATGTTTTCAGAATACAGCTTCACAAAAGCTCAGACAGAGTAACTGCTGAGTAACTGACTGAATGAAAATGTTTCTATCTGTGTAAAAGTGAAGCCTGCCAGTGAGGTAAATCGTTTGTTTCCAGCTGAGTTTCAGATCTTGGAGTTTTGTAAAAAAAAATAAGTGGAACCACAGGAAAATCATTCTCACTAGTCTCAAGGTAATGTTCTTGACTCAAATTAGTGCTTGAAACAAAATGACTCACTGAGAAAATGTGGAAATAATCCACGGAACTGTCTTTTTTTATAACACAAGTTGACCACTCAATTTTAACCCACTTATAAAGATGTCTATTTAAGAGTCTAACGCTAACTGCTAGACTAAATAACTTGTTAAAATGGGTTTTTGATGCAGTTTGGAAACATTCAATAGTCTGAAAGCCAACAGTCGGAGGGCTCTGCCACGGCCCAGCAGCCCAGAGCCATTCCTTGTGTGTTTTCTTGCTGAGCTGGACGGGCCTTTGCTGTGTGCTGTACCTCACCATGCTCAGCAGGAGCCGCGTGAATAGGCCTCTTGTTATGTTCCTGCACTCAGACGTTCGGTCACTGTAAGCACCCTGAAGGAAAGCTGTTCTTTTGGAAGCTCTTGAGCATTTTATCAGCGCCGGGGGTTAGCAAAATACAAAGTGGAAATATTCCTGTAATGTGAAACATGCGGCTTACGATGAGAGGCTGGGCTCACCTTTCAGGTCTGCTACAAATTTTGTGGCTGGAACAAAGGAGCAAGAAAAAGAAAGAAGAAGGTGATGAAAGAATGCGGGGAAAGAACAGAAAGAGACAAAAACACCTTTGATAACTCTAAGGGTTGATACACTGGGAAACTTAAACATTCTTTACTCTTTATGTGGGTCGAATTGACAGCCGTGCGCGCTGCCAATACGAGAGCCTGGTATGTTAATTAACTGCAGCTGCGACCCCTGACCCACAGCACCTGATAGGTGAGTCGCACGGCTCCGGTCCCTCACAGTAGTGTTTGCCACATGTCTTCATCAAAAAAGCCGTAGTCCAGACACTGTTGACGTGAGCTCTGGCAGCTCTGGGTGCATCCACCATGTAAACTGTTTCCTTCTCCTTTAAGCTCCATATACTTTCATAAAGCTGAATATCTGAGGTACCGCTCTCATGAATGCGCTTCCTGTCAAAGAGTCATCCACATGTGGTAGAGGGCCCGCGTGCCACAGGTTAGCGTGAGACAGAAGGAAACCGCCTCGGACGATGCAGATGTGCGAGGAGGAGTGCAGGTGTTTGGGTGGAGGAGGAATCTGGGTACCCACATGGCCTGAGTCCTCTATGGTTTTTCATCAGCCAGCAGAGCCAGATGATACAAAAACATGCAGACTTAATCAGAGTTTTGCTATTTGATGCCTGCCTCATTCATCCACCAAGATATATAAAGTAAAAGGGAACAGGTGAGAGTGTTGAGTTCATTTTTCCTCTAAAATGCTGACAGATCGACTAAGTTTCTGTCAGAGGTGTAGAGCTGAGTCACATGACGTGGACTCAAGACTTGACTTAAAATGTTTCAGACATTTTTTTGTGTTTCTATGCTTTCATTCACGCCTGGACCGCCTTGAAAAGGAGGGGTTTATCTGTCCACCACTTTGGTCCAGACTAAAATATCTCAGCAGATATCGACATTCATGATCCCCAGATGATGACTTGAACTGACTATGGTGATACCTCAAGGGCCGACTGTGGCTCAGAAGGGAGAGCTAATCGTCCACTAATCAAAAGGTTGGTGGTTCAATCTGAAGATACTGAACCACAAAATGCTCCTGTGCCATCCTGTGCCATTGGCGTGTGAACAAAGAATCATGATGGAGCGCTTAAGATTGGAAGCGTTGTATCGCTAC